TTTTTTTAAGTTTTAATTTTATACTGTTTAGTGATTTTGTTATGTGCTTTTAAAATATTTATATTTAGTTTGAAATGATTTTTATTTCAGTTTCATTTCAATTTAGTTGCCAAAGCAACATTTCTAATTCTCATTTAAGTTTGTTGACAATTGATTTGATTGGATTTGATTTCAATTACTGGAAAACATTTAAATTTTTCTTACTTTTTTTTAGACAACTATAACAACACTGGTGCTGAGTCTTAATAAGTATATAGTTACATTGTACGCATACATGACTACAATATGAGAAAGGGAAATATTTTACAGTTGTGTCTGTCAGTAATTAAAGAAAAGAAAAGAAAAGAAAAGAAAAGAATAGGCACTTATTGTAAAAAGTACCTTGGCTACTATGGTATAAACTCTGTACTTTTAAAAAGTGATTTTATTATGTAAATCACATTGCATAAACATGCCATTCTGAACTCTTCTATTTAATACCACAATACCAGTATTTTGGTATGTCAATATTGACAAATATACCAATGTGGGTGAATGCATTTTGTTTTCTTTTTTTTTTGCTTTAGATTTGTTTACCTAATGCAATGCAGTCACATAGTCTTTGTCGATTAATTTCAATGTCTTTTCCCTCATGCAGCAAGCTCAAGAGTTTCTTCCAGGCCAAGATTTTGGCTCTAGTCTTCTAGGTGATCTCGGGGAATTAGGTGAGTTGTCCTGTAGTGCTTCTGAGGATCTGCGCATTGAGCTCGACCAGTCAGAGTTGAAACAACAAGAGCTCCAAGAGAAGATCAGGCAACTCACCAGTGAAGCAGCTGATCTGAAGGCCGTGGTCCAAGACCTACAGGAGCAACTCTTGGCTAAAGGTCCTAATCAAGAGAAAGAAGAAGATCAGGAGGTGGTGAAAGCTGTTAGAGAGTGTGCAGATCACCTCCATACCGCCACACAGGGACTGGAGGCTCTACGGACATCAGAACGCAACCTAGAAGCCAAACTGAGCATTGCGGAGAACAGAAACATGGAGTTGCTAGCAAAACTTGACGGAGCTCTGAGCGAAAAAGGACAGCAGGCCACCAACTACTGCGACTCGGCCTGGAAGATCCAAGAGCTCCTGACCAAGCTAAAGGAGGCAGAGGAAGAGAGGATTGAGTGTAAACGAGAAAGCAAAGATCAGGCGAGACTAGCTGAGCAACTTGCCCAGGAGCTGAAGCTTCAGGAAGAGAAACTAAAGGAGACGGAAAACAAACTGGACACTTGTAGAGTGTCTGCCGACAAAGAACGAACAACCGCAATGCAGCAGGCTGATGAGCTGCAGATGACCATCAACCGCCTTCAAGGAGCACTTTCTCTGAAGGAGCGGGAAACGGGGAACCTACGGACTCAGCTGCAGGACATGCAGAGAGCACTGGAGACCAAGGACGGCCAACTGGAGGAGCACAAGAAAATGATAGAAGAGGAGCTACAGCATAAAAGTGTGCTTGAAGAACAACTAAATGCAAAGGTGACTGAGTTGTCCTCCGTTGCCCAAAAGATCCGGCAACTGGAGAATCTAAACCAGCGGTTGACTTCGGAGAGTCAGAGCTTCCAAATGCAAGCCAAGAAACTGGAAGAGTACAAGAACCAGTGCACAAGTTTAATGGAGATCAATGCCAAGCTGATCCAAACGGTGAAGAGAAATGAAGAGAGCAGCAAGGAGCTGGTGCAAGCCAACAACACTCTAGAGAGAGAACTCATTACCACACAGGCCTCTGAGAAGCAACTGAGAACCAGATTAGAGTCCGCTGGACTGACAGTGGAGAACCAAAATCTTGAGGAGTGCATACAGAACTGCCAGATGAACAGCGAGGAAACCAAAATCGAACAACTTGGAGAGAATAGTATATTAAGCCAGGAAGAACTAAATGAGAGAGGTACAGTCCCCCAGGGGAACAAGACGGCGACTTCTAGTCTCCTTCGGGAGGCTAATGAATCCTCAAGAACTGATAATGGAGAATCTACTTCTAGGTTGGCTCTGGCTGAGGCCCAACTTGAACTCAACATGAAGGACGTTTCCAGACTCCAGGAAGAGGTCATGGAGCTCCGGGCGCTGCTATTGGTGAGCTCAGAGGAGAAAATAAAGATCCAGGCTCTGCAGGAAGTGACGGAAGCCTCCAGAGAAGATCTCCGGGCTCAGGTGGAGCAACTAAAGTCCCAGGTTGAAGAGCTAAACCGTAGGCATGTGGAGGAACTGCTGCGTTGCCGAGAAAGAGAGGACTCTCTGGTAAAGGAGAGGGATATGGAGGCCCATGTGCGGGCAGAAATCCAAACGAACCTGACTGCCGTGAGGGAAGAGCTTCACGTGTTGAAGACGCAGAACAGCACGTTTGCGCTTGAGAACGGAGAGGCTCGTGAGGCCTTACACAGGGCCAACACTGAGACAGCAGAGCTTGGGGTTCACGTTTGCATGCTGACAGGACAGAACGAGGAGTCTCAGTTGCGATGGGAAGAGCTTTCTACCAAACTGCAGGAGCTACAGATGGAGGCGCAGGAAGAGGTGGAAACTCTAAGTGATTCAATGGAGGCCTTGAGAAAAGATAATGCAAGACTCCAAGAGCAGCTAAAGCAGACTGAAGGACTCCCAGAAGCCATGCAGAAGTTGCAGGAAAGACTTGAACAGGTGGAAGAAGAAGCCAAAAGCGTCCAAAAGATCCGACAAAGGGAAGTGGACACACTGAGGTCCCAGTTGAGCGATGAAGCTGCGCACCATCAGAATCAAGTGCAGGTAATTGAAGTAAAAATTCTCATAGGTGTTGGTTTTGTTCTGTTTTGTTCAGGGTGTTTATGGATGTCTCTCTGAAGGGTCTAAATGAGGAACTGGATGCACTGAGGAAGAGGCTGGAGAATGAAGTCGAGAAAGTCTCATGTCTTGAGTCCAAAGTTTTGGAGCTTGAGGTACTTGATCTTATTACCATAGATGGCTATTGAGGCTAATTCACATTACTTGCCATTTCATTACCTAAGATGAATGATAAACACAAACCTGTGAATGAATCAAATCGATCCAATATTAGTGCACTGAATAGTTTGCTATAATTTTGGCAACTGTTAAACAACCTAGTTTTAGGGGCCATTCATGTGGAACATGCTTTTTTTTTATATAGTTTTTGTATGCAAATATGCTCTAGATGGGTGTCTTTGAGACATTCGGACATGTTGCTCTGCTTTTTTAGCATCTCAAATCATAATGATATTGACATTTTTGTATCAAGTATTAAGCATGTTAGACTCTAAAGTAAATGTTGAGTTGGCTAAAGATCCCCAACCCTAATTATTTAGATCAGTAGTCTTTGAAATGCACTTTGAAATGCAGAACAATTAACACATTTTTGCATCCTTGTGTTTTTGTTTAAAAGTCTGCCAACAGTGATTACAGTCAGATGATCGAAAAGAAAAATGCCCTCTTCGGTGATTCTGAAACTATAATTAATCAAAAAGAGGAACAGATAAAAGGCCTTAGAGTGGACTTAACAAGGTGAGAGATTTCTCTACTGCTTTTGAGCTAGTCCATACATTAAAAATGTAAACAAAAAAATTAAACTAACATGTAGGAGGGTTTTCACTTTCTGCTAGTTGTTTTGAATGTCTGCTGGCCTGATTCTTGTTTTTTTTGTCAGAGCTGAGGAGGAACTGGCTCTTACTCAGCAGTCCTGTAATGAACTGGGTGTAAACTTAAGCAGAAGTGCGATGGAGAAGCAAGCCATTGAACTGAAGATGTCTGCTGAGATAGATGACCTTTATCGTACCAAACAGAATCTGGAAGAGAGGCTCATTGAGCTCATAAGGTGACTTATATACAGTAGTTACCTACCATGGTTTTTCTACTTTTCTAACACATCAGAATATATGTTCACTACAACCCAAAGAAATGCATTTGAAAATTCCTGTATCTGCTAAATTGTTGCAAGCTGTTCTTCATAGAACTCTGGCTCCCCCTGTAGGGACAAAGATGCTTTATGGCAGAAGTCTGATGCACTGGAGTTTGAACAGAAACAGAGGGCTGAGGAACAGACAGACAGAGACGTCACATACTGTCTGAGCTGCCGCAACCACTTCACCTGGATGCTGCGCAAACATAGCTGCAGGTCAGGGGTGAAAAGGGGAAATGGCATTTTTGGCAAATGACATTCTTCTTGCATTCAGTAGCTAGAGGCAATGGAATAAAATTGAGTATTTAGACCTTTGTTACCCTTGAAATTGCCAGTGACAGGTCATTTTGTCCAAGCTGTGTTTGACAAAGGTTGTGATGGTTTTATATATATATATATATATATATATATATGTTAAATTTACAATTTAAGGTAAATGTACAAGGCCATCATAAGGGTGACATCTGATTTTGTGGTGATAAATGTTACAGTTACTATTGTAAACATTTAATTTACTTGTCCCACCCCTGACTTGCTCTGATTGGTAAATCATCTGTCTGATTTGAGCAGCTTGTTTTTAATTACGAATCACAACCTTGTAACATAATATTGGCAGATATTTGTAATATAATATTTTATAATTTACAATATTTTTGTGGTCTATTTTAATTGTTGTATGTAGGCATAAAAGCATAATAATTGTCATACTATTAAAGAATAAATATAGCTACACAACGCTACACTATAGATTTTTTTAATTATTTTGAAAGGTGTCTCTTATGCTCACTAAGGCTGCATTTATTTGGTCAAAAATACAGATAATATTGTATTATTGAGAAATATTATAACAATGTAAAATAACCATTTTCTATTTTAAAAATATTTACAGTATCATTTTTTTTCTGTGATGCAAAGCTGAATTTTCCATCTTTAGTGTCACAAGATCCTTCAGAAATCATTCTAATATGCCAATTTGTGATTTGGTGCTCAAGAAACATTTCTTATTATTATCAATGTTGAAAACAGTTGTGCTGCTTAATATTTTTGTGGAAACTGTGATGCATTTTCTTTTTCAGAATTCTTTGATGAACAAACAGTTGAAAAATAAATTTTTCATTAAATAAATGAAATTTAAATCTTTTGTAAAAATCTAGATGCCTTTACTCCCCCTAGACTTTTAAACGGTAGTGTATATTTGTATTTTCTATGTTTTTTTAAACAGGTTCTGTGGGCGCCCATTCTGTTACTACTGCCTTGTTCATGATGCAAGTGTCCACCAGGGCGGCAGCAGCATGCGCTGTTGTAAAGACTGCTTTAATCAGCGCAGTTCTGGACGTGGGGACCTGGGCAGTCCTTTACGTTCAGCCCACAGCCCAATATCAAGCCCCACGCGAACCAGCACACCTGGTGTCCCAGGTAAGACATATAACGTCTTTCGCGGCATCACAAAAATGCTTTGCAACCATTAAAGGGGTTTTATGTGATTTAATATGGACTGTGAATTGATTATAAATGCCTTAAATGTAAAATGAAAATGCATACTGGTTGAATATGATCTGATCTTTCTTCAGATAGTGGGTTGTAATTCTTTGTGTAATGTGAATGTTGTCCTCACAGGGGCACTGAAGTCCCCTCGGCCTGATGACACAGCATATGACATCATCACACAAGAGGAAGTGAACTGTGTCCATGACAGTGACTCGTTATACTACACTGCTGTGCTGCCCTCAGAGACACAACAGCTGTGAGACACACACACCTGTCTTGTTAGCCCAGATTCTCTGCACGAAACACAATATGCTGAATTTGTGCTGAAGAAACAAGTAAAATTAAATTTGCCCCTGCTGAGCTGAACTCAGTTTCATTATTGGATTTATTTTCATTCATCAGAGCAAATCTGACATGAACACATGGTGCCTGCCAGTGTATCTTAATGTACTGCTAAAGTAAACATAATATCGAAACTTGCTGGCTTTGTTTCAGTTTCATTTGCATCACTTGCTATGATGTGCGCTCGTCTTTAGTCTGTGGTTAAATAAGTATACGAAAGGAAATGACATGTAAGTGCATATATGTCTGCAGAAGCAGCAGTGACATCACCAGCACAGAAGATTCAGACGAGTTGATTGGCTCCGTTCAGGATGCTGAGATCTGCCTGTTAAAATCTGGAGAGATGACGTGAGTCAGACACACAACACTTATGATGGGTCCTGATTCTGTTATGATTTTTGCACAATTATTATTATAGTTTATAATAATAATAATTATTATTATTATTATTATTGGTGCAAAATAAATAAATAAATCTAGTGTTCATTCATTCCCATGACAGTGAATGAGACACATCAAATTCTTGATGGATCCTGATGTTCTTATGATTTTTGGAAAATTATTATTAAATAAAATCAAGTATTGAATAAAATAAATGTCTTCTTCTTATTATTATTTATTTATTATTAAATAAAATAAATCTAGTATTGCAATATTTTATCATTCCTATTAACGTAAGACACACAACGCTCAAGATGGATCCTGGCGCCCTTATGATTTTTGCAAAATTATTGTAAATAATAATAATAATAACAATAATGATAATTATTATTATTAATGTTGTTGTTGTGGCAAAAAAATCTAGTATTGCAATATTTTATCATCCCCATGACCATGATTGAGACACACAACTGTCTTGATGGATCCTCATGTGCTTATGCTTTTTGCAAAATTATTGTTATTATTATTATTTTTATTTATTATCATGTGCTTTATTATTTATTATAATCATAAGTATTATCATTATTATTGTTGTTGTTGCAAAATAAATTAAAATAAATCTGGTATTGCACTATTTATTAATTCCCATGACTTTTAGTTTGACTCACAACTCTCATTATGGATTCTGATGGCCTTTTTGATTATTAGAGGAGGATTTGTTATTATGTATTATTATTATTATTATTATTATTGTAGCAATAAAATAAAATAAATCTAGAATGGCAATATTTATTTATTCAGCATTGTGTTTTGTTTCACAGGCTGTCTGTGCCGTTCAGTGTGGAGGACGTGGTTCAGTTTGGCGATAAGTCCAGAGAACTCTTCATCAGGTCCAGCTGTTACAGTGTCATTCTCATAACCGCTGCACATCCGGGTCTTACGATCAGCTGGGTCTTCTCTTCTGAACCCAAGAGCATCGCCTTCATGGTGGTGTACAGAGAGAACCTAGATACGCCTCCAGAACAGGCTAAGGTAACATACACATGACATACGGCACTGTCATGCTTAGAGCCTTTGCCATACATTTATCAGCATTTCTCAGTTTATTGCTCCATGTGCCAACTGAACCCCGCTATTAAAATGCTTGGAAATGAAAGTGCCAGCTTATGTCATATTGCTGCTGTCCAGCCAATTTATATCTGCTTGGACACAAAATTGATTCTGTTGGCTCTATATTTGTAGTATTCTGATCAGAAATTTAGCTTGTTGATATTTTAACTATTTATATTTATTCCAGTTGATGACTTATATTATGTTGTATATAACACATCACATGAAATAACCGAAGCAACATTTCTCTTTTTGTTTTTTGATTTCACTTAGTTTACAGTTAAGTTACTGCACATAATCATCCCTTCCCAGAATTTAGTGATTTCAGCGTTAGATGTGGTAATACAATACTTATATTTTATCATATATATATATATATAAGTTTTTCATATGAATTTTCAAAATATATATGTTTATTATTATATTAAAACATTATATTAGGCATATCCAAACAAGCTACATGAAATATTTCAAACAACACTGCCGATGAACTGACTTACAATAATGCATTAAATTGATCAAAAGTAAAGACATTCATATTGTTGTAAAATATTTCCTTTTCAAATAAATTGTGTTCTTTTGAACTATCCATTTCAAACATTCTAAATTTCTATATTATAAAAGAATGCTGAAACTTTTTGTAACCCTGATAATAATCAGAAATGTTTCTTGAGCAGCAGATCAGCATATTAGAATGATTTCTGAAGGATCGAAATTGATGCTAATGATGCTGAAAATTCAGCTTTGATAACAGAAATAAATTACATTTTGAAATATATCACAATAGAAAACACTTTAAATTGTAATAATATTTCACAATTTTGCTGTATTTTCGATAAATGCAGCCTTTTGTGTATAATCTGTCAAAGAGTTGATAAGAAGATGGTGATGATGTCTGGACAGCCCTTCTTTATGCACCAAGAGCTTGTAACACTCCAAAGAGAAAGGAAAAATTGAAATCGCATCATATGACCCCTTTAATGAATGGATCCTCAAACCTGTTTTTTTTTTCTTTCAGGTTCTGATCCCTCTGACAAGATGTAACTCTCATAAAGAAACAATTCAGGGTCAACTGAAGGTCAGGAACTCTGGAGAATATACTCTTGTCTTCGACAACTCCTTCTCAAGGTTCGTACTGAGATCAGTTCATTCCTCCAGCAGACCTTCTGTCGTTCTCTCTTAAACTCTGTTAATGTTTTGTTGGTCTTCCTGTTGGCAGGTTCCTCTCGAAGAAAGTCCAGTACAAACTGAGTATAGAGAAGCCAGAGGTCTGCAATGGAAGTGATTGTTCTTCATAGGAAATCGAATCACGCACACTTGTGTCTGTACCAGGTCACGGGACGGCTTGTCCAGGAATATGGCTGTTTATCAAGCCCAACTTCTAATGCTGCTTTCAATGATTTACGTGGTGAATCTCACAAAACATGTCTAAATCTCACAGTCAAATGAAAGAAATGAGAAATTATACTTTATAATGAAATAAAATACATTTTAAGACATTATCTTCTCCATGAATCGCTTATCCTATTTCATGCAAAAATCTAATTTTTGTAAAATCAAACGAAACATGCAGATGCATTACATTAATGAGAATTTAAGGGAGAAATGTGTGGATTTTCAAGAAAATTCATGTCTAAATAAATAAATACAATGCTCCCAAGCTTCATTTCTTTATGCAAAATAATAGTTTCTTATTTTTGTTCATTTGATTTTGGGGTGAAATATGACCTGGACATATTGTGAGATTCACTCTCTATGTAATTCAAAAGCCACATTCTTCTTATGAATGATTGCTCTTTATTCATAACCTTTTATGAATGATTTTAATACACTCATGGCAAACTCTAATAGCCAGAATGGTACAATATCTCTGACATACTTATCAAGAGAATGGACTGCCAAAAAAAAAAGTAGTCAATGAAGGAAAGCCCTCTGAAATTTGCTGTGGTCAGTAGATAGATGAAGGTTTTTATAACGTTATGCACTACAGAAGAGCTTTATTACTGTGTTTTTTAATGATATTAGTCTAATAGATATGAAGGAAATGCTTATACTTCATCAGGTTACTCGCATACAGGGACATCAATCTGTTTCTGTTCAAACATTTTTATTCCATCTATCTAATATCCATAGAAGTCTAACAGATGCAAAAAAAATCAGGAATTTTAAACTGACATAGATAATAATTATAAATAATCTAAAGATAGGAAACTAATCTATTTTCTTATGAGATTGCTTAGTGTATCTCTCATAATACGGGCATCATAGATCTTTTTCAAAGCTTCATAAGTCAACTATAACTTTTTTGCAGACATATAATCTGTATTCTGAAGGGACGAGTACACCGTAATAAGAGGAAACTCCATTTCCTGGCCGTCTTGTTTATTTTGAACCAAAAAATGCTTTTTCATTCGGCTGACACCAGAGAAAAATTTATAAGCAATAACTCAGTGACTGTTTTTTGCATAAATAAGATTGGCTGTGCAATAACAGATAACTCCAGCCTGAAGAAGGTGGACATTGTAAATGGCACTTTTGTAATGGCTTAATTTGAATAATAAGCATTGATTCTTCACTGTTGCACTTTCTGAATGTGTTTCAGAGGCTGATGACAGCACTTGATTAAAGTACTGTAGCAGTTACTGTAAAGGGCTGTGATATAACAGTAATGTTATATTACAACTAGTTTGAAATGGAGCTGAATTAAAACTACTTGGTGGCGTGACTCTACTTTTGACTCCGTGTACTGTATATCCGTTAATGATTTTGCTTAGGCCTACAATTGATATCTAATTGTTTAAATTCAACTTACCGTATAGGCATTCAATGACAACAGAAACTAGTTTAGCTCTGTCTTTCAGTCGACCAAACACACACACACACACACACACACACACACACTTTTACAGTAATGCATTTACTATGGAGGGTATACCTTGATATGTTATTTTACTAATATTTGTATAATATTATAGCATTATTAATGCTTTGAATTATCTTAAATTTTAGTAATTTTGTTGTGCTTTTCACATTTTTTGTTGTTTTATTTTTATATCTCTGTTTATTTTTCAGTTTATATTTCTTTTTCATTTTTAATTTTAGTCATTTTAGTACTTAAACTAATATTAGTTTTAATTAATTATTTTTAAATAATATATTGAATTAGTTATTATTTTAATATTTTGTTTTCAATTTAATTGGAGTTAAAGACGTAGTAATTTTGCAGTTTTTTCAACCTTTTTTGTAATGTAATATATTTATTTAATTTACATTTGTAATTTGTTTCAAGTTTTAATTTTAGTTATTTTAATAATACTTTAAGTTAAACATGGTCTTTGTTATGTGTAATAACCCTGTTGCCAATAATGCCACATTTTTGTTTTTTTTACGTGTTTCATCTAATACTTGCATTTTATTTTCTTTGAGATTTATTTTAATTAACAAAAACTGTTTTAACAGTTGTAATTTTAGTTCACATTAACAATGCTCTTACAATTGTTGTAGAACAACACACTGAAGACCACAGAGCACCGGCACCCCTTAACCATAGTAAAATAACACACTCTTGTGGCATTGCCATCTGCTCCTGGAATATGTGTATGTTCTCCACTGCGATTAGCTCAGTCTCTATGCATGTGTCCACTAAGGATATTTATTATTCCCTGCCAGGGCTGCATCTAGTAATGCTCAGATGCCGGTTGCCCGTGGTTACGGCTGCAGAGGGCGAGCGCCGTTGAGCTCACTGCGAAGTCCATTTGAACACAGCGTGTTTGTGCTGCAGAGTCCAGACCGTTTCCCAAGGTTAATGAACCCATTGTAAATCAGATCACATCCTGTGACCGGCCTGCAATGATCAGAGATTTACACACATACAGGGAGAGAGAGATGGGGGAGGGGTGTAGAAAAATGTGAGTTGAATATCACCCTTAACCATAGTAAAATAACACACTCTTGTGGCATTGCCATCTGCTCCTGGAATATGTGTATGTTCTCCACTGCGATTAGCTCAGTCTCTATGCATGTGTCCACTAAGGATATTTATTATTCCCTGCCAGGGCTGCATCTAGTAATGCTCAGATGCCGGTTGCCCGTGGTTACGGCTGCAGAGGGCGAGCGCCGTTGAGCTCACTGCGAAGTCCATTTGAACACAGCGTGTTTGTGCTGCAGAGTCCAGACCGTTTCCCAAGGTTAATGAACCCATTGTAAATCAGATCACATCCTGTGACCGGCCTGCAATGATCAGAGATTTACACATATACAGGGAGAGAGAGAGATGGGGGAGGGGTGTAGAAAAATGTGAGTTGAATATCAAGTCTTAGCTCACACACATATACACACACCAGCCTGCAGGATTCAGGGAAACAGATGTGATTATTTAAGAAATGACCTTTAAAAAATGCATATTGGTTTTTCAACAAGTAATGTGAATCAGTGGCTGTGTTCACAATGGATTACTGCCATACTACTCGCACTATTTCTGCAGTATTTAGTATGTATACTGCATATCCCAGCTGGCATGTCAACATTTATTCACAAGTAAATCACTCAGGAAATTTGTTTCAATTTTGCAAATTGATTCAGCATTGATATTGTGACATTGTTTATGTTTTTAGAGCTGGGTTTAAATTATTGATTTCTCGGTTTTAATCGATTCTCATTTTGATAAACCGATATTGATTCTTAAATCCCCAAAATATGCTGTTTTTAGTTGATGTGTGAACAAAACTTCACTTAACGTTATTTGTAGCGTACATCCCTTGCAGCATGCACTTTGTTACTTTTGATAGGCTATAAAACAAAATCTCCACTTTCAAATTCTGTTTTATTACAAATTCAAACGTTTTGGCACGCTTTAATATAAATATCGGAATCAAATCATGAAATTTGTGTCAATAACCAGCCCTAGTTGTTTCCATGATTTTTTCATACTGATCTTGTTAAAATTTAAACTTTTATAGAAGCATTTGGCATTAAACTTTATTTTATCATTTAAACAAAAACTGACAGTATTTCGAACTACATTTTAAGATCGGCCAAGTGCCGATTGGGATAGCATGCAAACTTTCTGTATGCATGCATAGACAACCATGCCTTACAACATTTACTAAAATGCGCATTTGCTAAAAATGAGCATAGCCTGCTGTGACTCAGTACCGTTTTCCACAATGCAATGCATGTAATTCATTCAGAATGGTTCCTGAATGATCGCTGTTGTTTTGGGCACATCTTATGTAGCCTACTTTAAGTTTGTGTGTGTGTGTATACTTTAAGTATCCATCCATTGTTTCCTGGCTTGGAATGGAAAACTAACATACTGCATACTGCACATTATAGCATAGCCTACTACTATGTATGTTTGTAATGTATGTATGTATATATGCATGTATGTATTTAACGTGGAACAGCCTATAGCCTACATCGACAAACATTTCCCCTGATAGCACACGTACATCATGGAGATGTCTATTTGACGTATGCATTTACATCTGCAAGACGTATTTTTTTGAGTGTTTGCTTATCTGCAATATGTCTATAGGACGTTTCCTATCAGATGTCAAATAGAGGTTTAGAAGATGTCTTTAAGATGTTTATGATTTAGAATGTATGTAAAATTGACATCTGAAAGATGTCTATCAGATGTCTGAACAGAGCAGATGCTTTCCAGATGAAGTGATCTTTAACAGACATCTTGCAGACGTGTACTATCTTATGCTATGTTGTCACATGGTCCCACTATTCTGCATTTTGTTGTATATGTGCTCTTGTTGCAATTTGTTTCCTATATTCAGTGTAACAGCTTCTTAAGCAAGTGGACAGGATTCTTGCGCACTCGTTGGCTGATTGAAGTGATGTCCATTTCATATCAGGCTAAGGATGCTATAAATCTTTGCTCGCTCTCCTCACGTTTGTCCACAATGGCTCTGAAATATAATTAACACATGCATGTATATCTTACATGTGAACGATTATCGTTTGTTGTTTAAGGTATTTTTGGGGGTTTAATACAAGTTCAGCTCAAGCAAAACCCGTGCATATTTTATAACTGCATGGAACGTTGTTTTCCCTGTTGAAAAAAACAGCATATGCTGGTTAGGTATGTTTTGACGCTGGGATGCTGGTTTATGCTGGTCCTTTTGCTGGTTTATGCTGGTCCTTTGCCAGCACATCACCAGCATAAACCATCAAAAGGACCAGCATAAACCAGCATCCCAGCGTCAAAACATACCTAACCAGCATATGCTGTTTTTTTCAACAGGGTTGAACCAGGAATATTTCTTGAAAATTGCTTCCTGTGTAGTTCCTGAGACGCAAAATGCATAACATATGTTTAATGTGTCATTTCTCAGAGTGTTTTTGGCGAAGGATTGTAAACGTTTTATTAGTCAGGCTGTCGTTGATGTGCTATATGTGTGGTTTATGAGCACTAGGTGGCAGTCTCAGACTCGCACATTACAACCCTTACTGTCAAAAATCACACCCGTGAACGGCACTGATTTGATTAATTACATCCGATTCTTGAAACTGCATTCATAAAAAGTAAAATGCTGCCGAAGCATGACTTGAAAGAAAATACATTGCCAATTTATATCTGAAATCTGGCTGTAAGAAAACAGAACAGCCTGTAAGTATCCAGATAACAATTTTTTTTTCTGTATCATAATTCTCTTTAAGCTATTTTTGGACAGCTATATTACCAATTAAATTCACCATCAGCTTCATTCAGCCTACTGTTTAGTGGTGTAGCACTTTGGCAAGTGCCAAAAATGGGATAGGCCTACAAAAATTGCTTGTTTTCTTCAGAAAAGAATGTAGGCCTACAAAATCTAGTATATTATGAAAGCTAGTGTCATGCGTCATGATTTCCTTCAGACACTACAAACAGTGTTCTTAATAACCTCTGCAACAGGACAGGTGATGAGCAACAGGCATTATTCATAATATGTAAATAAGGGCCACAGTGACGCGTGGCCTCTGGAATCTGTTTACGTTCCAGTGTGTCAATATTATTAGCATAATGAACGCTTTTATTCTCCTAAGCACTGTGAGTACACTTATTCAAATTCTCTCCTGCTAATATGCCAGTGTTGCTAATCAATATCAAAGTGAATGTATGTGTGTGAGAGAGCTGAAGACTAACAGATGCGTTTGTGTCCCGTTTCTGCTAGTATTTGTCGGTGTCAAGCACAATTTCACCAGAGCGGTTGCTTTAGTCGTCCTCAGAGGCCGTTCATCACGAACTTCCGCCTGTCAGGTAGCAACCAAGTTCATTTCAGCTCTCTGCGTCTCATCTAATTTCACTTCTCTCTTCCTCCATATTTTCAGTTTTCTTCTCGACTTATTTTTATCTCTTACTTTACAAGTTCAATATAAAATAAAATAAAAAATGTTGCTGGGGTATTGCTATCCCTGTTGAAAAAACCAGCATATGCTGGTTAGGTATGTTTTGATGCTGGTTTAAGCTGGTCCTTTGCTGGTTTATGCTGGTCCTTTGCCAGCACATGACCAGCATAAACCAGCAAAAGGACCAGTTTAAACCAGCAAAGGACCAGCTTAAACCAGCAAAGGACCAGCATAAACCAGCAAAGGGACCATTTTAAACCAGCAAAGGACCATTTTAAACCAGCAAAGGACCAGCATAAACCAGCAAAGGACCAGTTTAAACCAGCAAAGGACGAGTTTAAACCAGCATCCCAGCGTCAAAACATACCTAACCAGCATATGCTGGTTTTTTCAACAGGGATGTGGTTGATAATTCTGGTCTCTAGATATGGCTTCGTTCCCTCCTTCAGTGTAAGTCTGTAAGATTTTTTCAGCTGTTTTATTGACTTAGCAACTGCATACCAACACCCTGGAAACCATAAATACCCTTGCAACAGCATAGAAATGTGTTGAAACCCACTCAGATGACCTCAGCAACCACATGACAACACCCTGGCAACCACAACACCCGACTAACCACATAGCAACACTGTATGTAAGTCTGTAAGATATTTTTAGCTGTTATATTGACATAGCAACTGACACATCCGGTTGTATCAGAAAATGGTTTTTATTGTTTTTATATTTTTATTTGCATGAGTGATGCAAAAAAAAAAACATTCTGCAAGTAATCTGGAGTGAGTAATGCGATGCAAATATTCGCTTCGCTTTTGGTGTGAACACTATAAGTCTTTAAGATTTTTTTTTTAGCTGTTTTATTGACTGTTAGGTGAAAATAGTATGTATGATCTCATTTAGAGAAGTACTAGCACACCTCTCCTCAATTAACCCGAGTATAGGAAATAGTGACGTTTATAAGCTAACAGCACAAACATGTTTTCACAGTGGTTTTGTGGTCACGTTTTTTTGTCACGTCTCGTTTCTGCGATCCATCATGTTTCTTCCCAAGACTTCTGGAGTTTAAATAGATGTCTCTGAGATCTTATGTCAAATTTCTGCTCTAATGATGGATCAGTGGACAGACCTGAGGAGAAATGTTTTCACTTTTACTCTAAGAAATCATCCGGTGGTTTGAAGGACTTAGATATCCAAAATCCTCAGTGTTACAAGTCCTAGTTAAATAAGATTTATATTTGATTGTCTCCTGTTAAAATTGTAGAAAATATTCATTCATTCTAGTGCTGTCAAACGATTAATCGCATCCAAAATAAACGTTTTTGTTTACATAATATATGTGTGTATACTGTGTATATTTATTATGTGTATATATAAATACACACACATATAGTATATATTTTGAAAATATTTCCATGTATATATTTATATTCATATAATTGTTTTTATATATAAATATTTTAAATGTATAAACTTAACACATTTTTCTTAAATATATACATGCACATATTATGTAAATGAAAACCGTTATTTTGGATGCGATTAATCGCGATTAATCGTTTGACAG